AAAATTTTTTTTTGCAAATTTTTTATTCATGAAAATGGATGAAAATGATTTTTCTTATTAAAATGCATTGCAAATAATTTTACTATGAAAATGCATTGCAAATTTTTCAAGCTAAATGGATTTTTTATAAAAAAAATTAAAATGATTTTTACTAAATGCATTACAAATGATTTATTAAAATGCATTAAAATTCATTGCAATTTTCTACGGAAAATTAAAACAAATTACAAAATGTTTCAAATGATTTTATTATAAAATGGATTTAAATGATTTTACTATAAATGCATTACAAATGATTTTTTTTATAAAAATGCAAATTTTACTATAAAAATGCATTGCAAATGATTTTTATTATGGAAATGCATTGAAAAATGCAAATGGATGCAAATACATTATTAAAATGCATTAAAATTTAAAATTTAAATGATTTTTTATTATGAAAAAAAATTTCTTATTAAAATGCACAAATGATTTTTATTGCATTACAAAATGGAATGGATGCAAATGATTTTTCTTATTAAAATGCATTGCAAATAATTTTTTTATGAACTATGAAAATGCATTGCAAATGATATTTTATTATGAAAATGCAATTCATTGTCAATTATTTTACTATGAAAAATGACATTATGATTTTGGATGCCAAGATGATTCTTATTAAAATTAAATGATTCCACTTGAAAATAACAAATTTTTTATATAAAGCAACATTTTTCTTATTGTTAATGATTTTACTATGAAAAAAATGCAATTAAAAATGGATTCAAATTTTTTTGAAATATTAAAAATGGAAAATTTTTTTTTTCTTATTAACCAATTTTTTATTAAAATTTTGAAAATGAACATTGCAAATTTACTATGCAGATGATTTATGCATTGAAATGATTTTAAAAATGAAAATGCATATGAAATTTACGTGATTTTATTTTGATTTTGCGGTAAATGATTTTTGTAATGCATTTATGATTTTATTTTGCATAAAAAATGGTTGAACTTGAATTCTTCTGGGATTTTTGCTTTCCCAGTCTGGTTCGTTTCATTTACTGATACGAAAATACCCTAGGGATAGGTATTTTATCCCCCGCAGCTATGGGTTGAAGAGCAGAACAGACTGGATCCTATAGCCTTGGTTGACAACCAGTCTACCACAGAAAGAAACGGAAATAATGATTCATGAACCGAAAGAAATATGGTCATCCAAGTGTTGTATGAATTTTTAATTAACGAGATTGGTTTAATTTTCATCACTTTAATATTAATATTGCTAGATGTAAACCGTAAATTCTATGCTAATAGTTTCTTCTCCACTACTTCTCGCTTGTGAAATGTTTTTCCAGCTTCTCACTTTCCTGTCATCTATGATCTTTAAAAAATTAAAGGTAATGTCAATCGTCATCTGTCCGCTTGTGGCTTGTTTTATTGGGTTTTTTTTTTTTATATTGTCTCTTCTCCGCATAATGCTATTCATTCAGATCATACATTTCGATAGGTGTAAAATCTGCGATATCCAGGCACCAGAAACAGCATCAATAACTTCTTCGAGCCAACATGAAACGGAATCTGTTGAAACGTCTTTTCTGTCAACAGAATTCTTCGATTGAGATGTGAAAAAAAATGGCAAACTTTATTTATTTATTTTTAGCTTTCATTTGCTTCCGTTAGCCGTCGTAGTGTTCCAGTTGTTTATAGCTTCACGGTTGAAAGAACATCCAGTAACTGTCGACATTTGCCAACTTTAAATGAAAGGAAACATCACTGTGTAGCTATGTAACTGATGTGGGTAATCGTGTATAAGTCGATTGTTATTCTTGTCCTTTGAAAGAGAAGTGCCGTGCATATGGCTACCAAATATGGAAAACTGAAACATTTATAAGCAGACATGATAAATATATACAGATATTGTTTTATTATTATTTATTACTTTATAATTTCATATAAATTAAATACAATAAATAATATAACCAATATGGAACAGATTGCATTCGGAATAACATTATCCCTTAATATTATTATTATGTTTTCTACTATATTTGTCCCATAATAATTGTTACATTTGCCTACATATTTCTTATATTAAATGTTACAATCTTTTAAGGGATTGTTTTACATAGCTTGTCCCAAACATTTTAAAGCATATGTAAAATATATAATAATGGGTCCTCATTTTTTATATACCATAATAATTTTATATTAAATTTTATATTAAATTTATGGGACAAATCGTGTTTTCTACTATATTTGTCCCATAATAATTGTTACATTTGCCTACATATTTCTTACATTAAAAGTTACATTCTTTATGGGACAAATCGTGTTTTCTACTATATTTGTCCCATAATAATTGTTACATTTGCCTACATATTTCTTACATTAAATGTTACAATCTTTATGGTACAAATCTTTATTTCTACTATATTTGTCCCATAATAATTGTTACATTTGCCTACATATTTCTTACATTAAATGTTACCTTCTTTATGGGACAAACCGTTATTTCTACTATATTTGTCCCATAATAATTGTTACATTTGCCTACATGTTTCATACATAAAATGTTTCATTCATTATGGGACAAATCTTTATTTCTGCTATATTTGTCCCATAATAATTGCTACATTTGCCTACATATTTCATACATTAAATGTTACAATCTTTATGGGACAAATCTTTATTTCTACTATATCTGTCCCATAATAATTCTTACATTTGCCTACATATTTCTTACATTAAATGTTACAATCTTTATGGGACAAACCGTTATTTCTACTATATTTGTCTCATAATAATTGTTACATTTGCCTACATATTTCATACATAAAATGTTTCATTCATTATGGGACAAATCTTTATTTCTGCTATATTTGTCCCATAATAATTACTCCATTTGCCTACATATTTCATACATTAAATGTTACAATCATTATGGTACAGGTGTAATCATGATGGTTTATCTGAATAAGTACTTTAAAGGAATTATGGAATCGTTCTTTTAAAACCTAAACATTTTCATTGTTAAATGTCATCATCAGAAAGTCCGCCATTTTACATTAAGAGTTCATGTCTTTAAACTCACGAACCGGGTAGATCCCTGATGGTAGCTGTTAACAGCCCGTCCTCCGAGGGCAAAGTGGTCAAAGCCGGCATCCCTCAAGGCTCGTTTCTCGGTCCAACCCTCTTTCTATTTCATATAAACGATATGCCTAAGTGTACACTCTGATCATTTGGGAATCCATAAAGTTCGTGTGCACTTTAAAAATTTATAACTTTATTTTTATTTGCGATAGAAATAATTTGTAAAAAAGGATTAGAAAAGAAGTAAATCTATATTTTTTAAGGTTTTATTGAAATTTTATTTAAGTTTCCATGTCATCCTCCATCATTAGCAATAAAAAAGGGTAATACGATTTTGCAGTTCACGGAAAACATTTGCCAACTGATTTACAGTAATGCCTGAAATCACATTAGTTATTTTAGCTATACTTAAAACTAGGTACATTAAACTTTATAACATTTTTTACAGATTATTTCTATCGCAAATACAAATAAAGTTATAAATTTTTTAAAGTGCACACGAACTTTATGGACACCCTATATATATATATATATATATATATATATATAATAAATAAATATATATTTATATATATATATTTGTTATATATATATATATATACAAATAAAATGACGAACTTTTGATATGTTTCATTTGTTATATCAAATGGGGAACTAAACATTTTTTTCGAAAACATTCTTCAGGTCTTGCTGCGATCAAACAAGCAAACTGATCCAAAGTGGTGTGAGTGAAATTTTTTAAAAACGAACCTTTTGGGTACTCATCAATTTTTGCACGGGCACAAAAGTTCATCCTTGCCAATATTTATTTATCTAGTAATGGTGTTTGAGGCAGATAGGAATCAAAGGTGCAAATCAGTTTAACTCAATAAACGTCGGGTGGATTTAAAAAAAAAAAATGCGATTATAAAAGTTAACCATTAGGACAAACATACAAAGTATAAGATTTAGACAAATATGCTGAAAAAAATATAAATAAATAAAAAAATTAAAATAAGAATAAAACGCATAACAAGTTCGATTTAAACGCACTTTAAAAATGAAATGGTGAAAATTTTGAAAATTGAACTTGAAAAAAACTGTTCATGATATAAGATGGAACACACAGTGAATATATTTTATATATATATACTTATAAAATGAACAATATATATATAGGAATATCTCAGTATATTTAAAAATAAATATGCTGTGAGATGCCATATCTTTTTTTTTTCTTAGGTCCACACCCACACCCATTAGTGATCGACAAAATGCATTTATGTTCGTAGGGAATATCAATTTGGATAAGACCGCGATTGGCACAGGGAGATGAGTTTTGTTTTTACACATTTAATGTATCAATTGAGGAATATTGGTTTGCCATTTTAACTAATCAAGTCGAGTTCGCTCAGAAAATACCGATATTACAAAAATCATATTTTATCTGGATATATATATGTGTGTGTGTGTGGAGAGGATAATATAACAAATGTGTGAACAAAAATGATGAAGGATTTTTAATCACACACAAAAAGAAAAAAAACAGAATAATTCTGAATTCTAAAGGGAGGAGAAAGAGGTTTTCCTTCTCATTATCTCAGCTGATTAATATATATATATATAGATATATGGAGCAAAAGGATGGATGATAGATAGAAATTAATGATAGTGAAAATACATAAAAACAAAAAAAAATCTTGAATATGGGAGAATTATGCTTTACAGAATATTTAATAAAAAGAATCAACGTTTGAATATGTTTTCGATTAAAAGAACCATTAAATAAGAAATTTGAGAGATTAAATCATAATTAACAGTAGAACATATAAAATATATCCAAAAAAATCGGTAAATTCGTCCGACGTTGACTTTATATTAATGATTCTAATGAAGAGACAATTGGGAAATTTATTATTAAGATTTTGTTTTTTTAGAAGATATTTTTTTTAGATAATAGATATAGAACAAATAAATATACCTGGATAGATAGATAGATAGAAAGATAAATAGATAGATAGATAAAATGAATATCTTTTCAGAGAGAGAAAACAAAAACTGCTCTCTTAAAAAAAGTGAACAGTGTTTATAAATATGTGTTTTAAATGTATGGATAATGAAATGTGTCTAAAAAGTTAAGAGAGTACATTCTGAAAGATGAGAGATTATGACGTTTTTATATAAAAATGAATCAATAATTTGAGAAATCCCTTCAGGGATTGAGTGGATAATGGGAAATTCAACATTCCATCCTTTAAACAATTTTAAAAAGTTTGTCTTTCGTTATCTTAAAGAAATCTTTGTCCAATGCTATCAGTTCGACGTTAGGTAAAATAAAAAAATCATCATAACCAACTCATTTTGGGATGCCTTCAATGCTTCCTGAAAAATAAAGAAGATGAAGAACATCGTTAATTGACGAACATATTTGTGAAAGTTTTTTCTTTTTTTTTTTTTTTTTAAGAAATTTAACTTAAAATGGAAAATGACAACGTATAATGATAGAAGAAGAAGAATACAGAAATGTTTAAAAAAAAAATATAAATTTATTATACAAAAAGATAACCTGATCTGGCATAAAATAATTTGAAATATCATATTCACTCCTGCGTAGTAGAATTGAAAACAATTAATATAGAATTACATCAAAAAGGAAAGTGAACTATCAATTTAAGGAATATCCATCTGTTTATTGAACGTCCCTATTAAATAGAAATAGTAATTGAAAATTCAAAGTTGAAATATCATGAATTTTGGCATCAAAAGCGAAAATCTCATTTTGGGAGATGGAATTACATCTATATTTTTATCAACATAAGATTGGAAAGGAAATTAAAAGGTTCGAAAATGACTTTTAAAATAAGAAAATCAATTTCAACGGAAAAATTTCTAAAATAATTCTTTTAGAATTCTAAAAAATAATTTTAATGGAGTTTGAAAAGAGAGTAGATAAAAAAGAAATATATAAAATTTTTTTGAGGAAATATAAAAACATGAAAGAAAGGGAGAAGATAGAAGAAAAGAAAGAAAGAAAGATCTTAAAAGAAAGACAGATTGATATTTTAGATAAATATATATATATGATATATATATATATATATATATATATATATATATATAGATAAAAAATAAGATAGGATAGATAGATCACGGACAACAGGAAAAAACGAAAATTAAAAAAAAATGAAAAATAAAAATGGTTAATTTACATTGAAAGTAGTGGTTATATATATATATATATATGGATATATATATATATATATATATATATATATAAATATCTTTTTTACATAAAGAGAAAAAAAAAAGAGTTAGAAAGAAAAGAAGAAAGAAAGAAAAAGAAAGAAAGAAAACTTTGATATAAAATATACAATGTTGTTTGGATGCATATATAAATTTTCGGATATAAAGGAACTTAATACACATATATTATATAATTAATTGAAAAATAAATTTTAAATTTAAATTCAATGAAAAATAAAAATAAGGTCTGAACAATAAAATTAATTTTGGTTAAATAAAATTAAAAGGATCATACCTTTAAAAATGAAAATTGGATTTTTAAAATAGTAGAACAAAATCTGACGAAAAACATGAGTTCTTTTTTAAATGAATAAATGCCAAATATTGAAAAAAATTAAAAATCAATGGATTTAATTATAAAACTCCAAAGTACGATCCCTAATCAAACTTATTTGCATGAAGAAAAAAAACGTTTTTCTGATAATGTCATGAATAGTAAAAGGTAAAGATAATAAAATTAAAACAAATTCAAGACAATGAAATCTATTATTTTTTTTTTGATTATTCATCTCAGGATTCAAAAAAAAAGAAGTAACGTATCTAGACAACGTACAATCTATAAAATTTTCGTGTAATGACATTTCTGATAGGCTTTCCAATTTGGTCTCGTAAGGACAAGAATTTAACGAGGCAGTTAGATTGCATACTACTCATCATTTTCTATTTGAAAACTAGATGTATCCTGTAAGTTCTATTTTAATAGGTTCTGAATAATACATACTATTACTCGTTTGTGGAATATCTAACAACTCCAAGAAGGTTAAATAAGTCAATGATAACCGTATTAAAAAAAGAGAAATGAACATTAATTTTTTCTGATTGTATTATCCATTAAAATTTTTTAATCTAATCCCCAATTTTACATCAGTTTTTTTCCACTCTCACAACCACATTTAAATTTTTCATCGACTCATAATTTATATGATATATATATATATATATTATATATATACTGAAAAAATTATCATTTAAAAAGTTTATAAAAATTGATTAAAAACAGAATAAATAAATTATTTAAAAATGTATAAAAATTAAGCATTGACAATAAATCAAATTTGGATATTTTTTTAATGTATTTATTTTTACATATTTGCACATTTATGTCTTTCTATTCTTTCAATAATAATTTTTATCTAAATTTTTTTATTTTTTCTATATAGAATTAACCCAAAAATAATCAGTTTTAATCAATATCTGTTAACAGGACTTGACTTTTAATAAAAAACAAATTAGTACCTAAAATATCAACACGTGATAAGTTTAAAAAATTTAAATATTTGGGAAGACATTTAACCATACAAAGGAATTTGATGAACTTAAATTTCAAAATGACATTAGAATAAAAAAAACAGTAAAAAAGCTAAGAAAATAAAAAAACAGGAAATTTTATAAGAAACAAAGAAAAGAGTTCTGAGCTGTTATTAATATGTAAATAAATTACTGACGGCAATTTTTTGAGTTTTTTTGATGAAGAAACAAAAAAACAAAAAAAGAAATGTGGAGGCGAAAAAAAATGCTGAGAATACAATAAAACGAATACAATTTTTTTTTCAAAACATTAAAACGTGGAAAGATGTATTTTTATTTACTAAAAATGAAAAAAAAATGGTCCATATAAATAAAAGATTTAGTTGCAAATTTCTAAACACATACTTCCCGTCCAAAATTGTTGGTGAAAAAGAGGTTTTAAATTCACAGGGAGATTAAATTTTAGGGGCAAAAAAAACAACTTGCATGATCTGTTTTAAATAAATGGATTCCGACAGAAGTTTTAGGAGCCGGAAAAAAGATATGTTTTATTTTTGTTTAAAAATCAGGAATTGTGAGTCTTGCATGATAAACTTGTATATAAATGTTTACTCATGATTTTGAAATATAATTGTGTTTTCCTCTAAAATCTCGGTATTTGTTTTAACTGTAATCTTTGGTCTTTGGAATGTCGGACTGAAAGAATGAATAAAAAAAAAAAACTTTTTGGAACAAACAATTTTTTTTTTTCATAAAAAGTTGATATGAACCAAACATTCAAATTCCGGGAATGAAGTAAAAAATCAATAATTTATATAAAAAATTAATGAAAATTTATCGTCAAAATTTTTTTTTTCTATTGTCAAAAAAAAAAAAAAAAGAAAAATACGTAGTATATATATATATATATATATATATTATATATATATATATATATATATATATATACAGGGTGACAAAAAAAAACGGGAACTTTTTAACAATCCAATAAAACCAAGAGTGATGGAAGAAAAATATTTTATTCATAGTAATTGAAACCTTAAAACATGCCATTTAAGAAACAATGATGGAATTTTCATTTTTTTTAAAATTACGTCCTGTAGATGGCGTCCTCCTGTACGAATGCATTCTTGAAATCTGCTGTTGAGATTCCTCATTGACTGCTGCAACATCTCAGCTGGGATACTGTGAATTTCATCTTGAATTCTAAATGGCGAAATGTTTACTTGCTCAAGGTTACTGTCTCCCAGTGTTGCCACTTGCTCATGTCTGGCAATACGCACTCAAAAAAAATTCCCGTTTTTTTTGGGTCACCCTATATATATATATATATATATATATATATATATATATATATATATATATATATAGATAATAGCACCATGAAGCCTGATGTTTGTAATGACATTTCTAGTTCTACTGGATTAAAAGCGGCTCACAACAATAAAAATTCGTCGAAAAATAAAATAAAAAACAATTCCCCGTTCTTTTTCAAATACAAATACGCTCTGGGAAATAAACAAGTTGACACCCCATCTAAAGTTTAAAGCAAAATCAGAGAAAAGGGTCTTATTTCATGAACTAGAAGAACAAATATTAAAAAAAATGAATTCAAAGTCAAAAATGAAAGTTAGACTTATCTCATGAAATATAATATAAATAAAAGAAAAAATACGTCCTATATAAGAAATATTATATATATATATATATATATAAGACGATAAACTATGTCCAGCAGCAATGCTCTCTGATCAGGAGGTTTTGAAATCCTTAGGCCTGGAAACCTGAAATCTTTAATTGCAGGATTAACAGATCCATTTTAAACCTGGGGTGGTTTAACCTGTTACTGATTGCAAAATGGGTAAATATATAACAAATTGGTGAAAAGACTATGAAAATGAAAAAAAAGGTTTTAATTGTAAAAATAATACTTCGTAAAAATATTACCAGCAATACATTATTAGGCATACAATAAATTTTTTATTGAAAAAATATTATTTTAATATATTTTTTCAAAAAAAAAATTACCAGCAATAAAAATTTTGTCATGCTGAGGTTGATATGCCGTAAAACAAACCAAAATAAACTAAAAAATTTTGAAGGATAATTAAAAGGGGATCGTTTATACATGTGATATAAAATTATGTATTGCTGGTTCCGGAACGTCTTGATCTCTAGACTTTAATTTATTCTAATCAAGTCATTTTTGAGAAGAGAAATTTAAAATAAACATCTCGTTACCTATTACCAGCAATACTTTTTTAGAAAAAAAATATTACCAGCGATACAATTTTGAAGGAAAAATATTAACAGAAACAGATTTTTGACAAAACAATTTATGACAAAGAATTGTAACAAATTTTGTCATGCATTAAATAACCCATTGAGGTTGATATGCCGTCAACAAAAATAAACCAAACCCAAAACAAAAAAAAAAAATCTGTATAATTCCTCTATAGAATTATTAAATGAAAGGACTATTGATATAATGTAGGGTTAAATTTGATTTAACCAACTAAAGATATAATAGACATGTTTCAGATCTCATTACATTTTATGAAATAACAACACCTGGCAATTTATATTATGGGAGACTTTATATCAACATTGCATCATGCCTATAGATATAGACATGGAAAGTGTTTTAGTTCATTGACTTTTAAAAAAGTTCCGTTTGAAGAGACACAAATCAATATATGTTTGTATAGCTGTATTTAACTCCAATGATCTTTTTCAGAATATTAATTTATTTATTTATTTTGTTCCATTTTGATATTGTTTCTTGATAAACTGTCATTAGTGTTCGACATAAAATATATAAAACAAGTTATTTATCGCGACTGTGTATTTTCTATCTTTTTTTTTCACATTGAAGAGATTCGTTATTCAATAACTGAATGAACATGCTGTTTCAGAAGAGATCAAATCTATTGACCTAAGTGAGCCTCTCCTTTGTGAAATCACGCCTTTCTATTGATATCTAATGTAAAACTTCGTAAATCTGTTGAAAACTTTTTTTTCTTTTTATCTAGATTTTTTTTTTTCAAAACAATGTGCTTTTTTTAAATATTTTCATTTGATTAAAAATCTGTAAAATTGTTGTTTTTTTGATTTTTTTATTTAAGAACTAGAAATTTCAGTGAAATCATTTTCCTGATTTATAGAACGAATTTTAATGGTTCATGTTACTATAGTTCAAATTATATAATATCTAGTGATGATTTTAAATAAAATTGATATTCGATTAAATATATACATTGTATATATCAGGTTAAAGGCGCTGTAGAATTGTTCAGACGCTTATCTTAAATTTTACAGGGCGAATTTCCTAACATAATGAGGGTCAAATAATCTCAACACCTGAAGGACAACGGTCACAAGTTGTTTTATAGACTGCGAGAAAGACAGATGTTATAAGAAGGGGGATATAAGGAATTTAAAAACACAAACGAGGTTTGAAAAGAAACCTGATAGGAGAAATAATAAATCCTTTTTTTTATGTAGTTTTGTTCTGGCAGGAAGATTTGATCGTAAGTTATTAAGTTTAATTTGTGTGTATTTGTTTATAATACCGGTATATATTTTTATGGTATATTTTTTTTTTTTTTTTAGTATATATTTTTGGTTTAAATGTTGGTGTATGTATGCATAAAGATTTGTGCTTGCATTTCGTTGTGTGGCAGTCTATTGAAGGTACTGTTTTAATTTGTTTTTTGTGGTATGGCCGTTCATCTTTTTGAGTTTCTGTGCAGACTTTTCTTTAGTTCTTCTGTCTGGAAAAAATATTCCATTTTAGTTTTTTTTGTTTTTCAGTTTTTTTTTTTTTGTAGTTCCCTCACTGTTTGTCTCGATTTCATTTTTTTTTATGTCATTTTTTATCAAGGAGCAGGTTGATTTTTCAGTTACCGTTATAGTTTCCTGGTATGGTCTTAGAGGGTATCCTGCATGAGAGGAAGGGAGAAGTCTTGTATTTTTCAATAACACCGGAAACACATCATTATAGTTACCCATTGATGGTTCCAAATCAATCCTGAAATTGGTCGTATTTTTGATCTCTCAGGTGCCCATTATATATATGAGAAAAAACCTTGTTAATTTGTTGTTGAACTATTCATATAAATAGCCAAAATTCGGTGTTTATTGGTTCTATTTGGTATTACAAACTCGGCTTTTTGAGCTGTTCAGTAATATCATATATATTATCCATGATTATATTTTTTTTGAAAATAAATAAAAAAATTAAAATTTTCAGACACACTGGCTTGTATATTAATATTCGGATTTTTTTTTAGTATTTCAGTTAGATTCCTCGACTAGTTTCGGCCATTTGGCCTATCATCAGGAGAAAAAAACTGTTTGTTAGTAGCAACTGTGGAACTACAGAAATGAATGACTTGATGCAGAAAATGAACTTTTATCTGTAGTTCAAAAAAATTTTTTTTTTTTTTTTTTAACATGAATTTTGGACAGTCCTTGTGTTGGTCAAACAGTCTCTTTTTTGTTGTTATTTAAGATAAGAGCTGGATGGATTCATACTGCTCTGAATACTTTGTTCATTTTGACAGTTTTATTGGTTCCTCAGCAAAAAGGCGATGTGTCCTTATGTGTATCCATTATTTGGTTCTTAGGGTGATGAGTGAGTATGATATAGATTAGTAATGCGTATAAGCTCGCTGAGGAATCAATAATCCCTCGAAATAAATGATATTTCTCTATTGTGTGACAAAAAAAGTTCATGGATTTGTCGGATTATATAAATTCCTAAATATGTTGTTAATATGCGATTATCTTGTCTGGATGGAATTTTTTTAATGTTTAAAGAGTTTTTATCTTCAAGGACGTGTTTTTTTTGCAAAGGTATCTGCTCTCAACTTTTCTATTTCCTCAATTATTGTTTT